TTCTACATCTTGTGGAATAGAGGATGCAGAAGCGCCATTAGAAGGAGTAGTCAAAGGCACGTTCAATTCATCAGTATCATCCCCCACTGCACTTTCAAGATTTATGTGTTCCAATGCATCTGCAGCAGATTCCGCCATCGATCCTGTGGCTCGATCTTTTCCAAATATTGTTTTTAGTCGTTCATATTGAGGAAACGGCTTGTTGGCAATATAATTTTTGCTTGGATATTTCTATAAAAAAATGCATAAATATGAGCATTACCTTTAACTATGAAATAATAGCATCAAAAATAGAAACGTTACCTTTAAGTATTCCTCTAAAACTTGAGCATCCACCGTTACGCATTGATGCGCATCATCCCAACCAAATCCACTTGTATTCAGCATGTCATAAGCTGCTGAATACTTATCCTTGAGCCGCTTCATTTTGTTTTGGATGTGTTTTGATGTTATATTTAGGCCCGGAATCTTTTCACGCATCTTTAAAACAATTTGCTCATACGTGCCGGTCCGAAAACACCCATTATCACTCCTACCACCGGCGGCTACAATCTCTTGTAGAATGCTAATTTGTGCATCCTCTTCTTGGATATTCCAATTACGTCTATCCGCCATCTTAGAATAATACATTATGATAACATTTTAAAATTCAACATTAAACCAAAATAATACATTAACAACATTTTAATGTTCAACATTAACAACATTTTAAAATTCAACATTAACAACATTTTAAATTTCAACATCTAAAACATAGATAATACAATACATTGAGTACATTTATGTACTTGACATCCATGACTCAAACATCTCTTGGGCTATGTCATCTCTCCATTGAGTCCACTCATTGCTCGATTCAACAACATCAATAGATTCAACATCATCGTTGGATTCAACTTGCTCTTCCCATATAGGCATATCTTCTAGTGTAAGTGTCGTGTTTTCTTCCGGATCAAGAACCATGTACATTCTAATAAAATTATGTAGCAAAGCACATGCTATGACCATCCTTCCTTGAAGTTTTATTGGATAGAACGAAGGACTTCGTAATATGGCCCAACGCTTCTTCAAAATACCGAAACACCTTTCTATGATATTCCTAGCTTGTGAGTGTTTCATGTTAAAATATTCTTCCTTATTTTAAGGTGTATGACCAATGTGTTCCCATTCTCGTAAATGATACCTAGTACCTCTATATGGTGCCAAAAATCCGTTACCATTGACGTATCCTGCATCAGCCAAATAGTAAGTACCCATTGGGACTTTTAAACCATWARTKCGTGTAACCGCATCTCGTAGTACCCTAGAATCGGTAGTTGAACCTTCCGGGTAAAGGGGAAAAGGGTAATGAGGGAAATAACTTTGAGTTCCACTTAGTTCCAGGGTATTAGGCAGAAC